GTGATACTGCCACACTCTGCTTGAATACTCTGCCCTGGACCATGATCTATAAAGTACCTCTGGCAGAAAGTTTCAGTGACTGTAGAACTCACTGTTTCTCCTCTCCTGTATCACGAACTTGTGCTGTTTGTTGCCTGTGATGGTTATGTTTGTGTGTCAACTTGGCTGGGCCTGGTTGAGTGGCTGGGCATCTGGTGGTAGTTATTCCCCATGATGAGACTGGCAATCAGCGGCATGGTGGGATCTACCACAAGCAGCTGCTTTGGGTATATGGTCCTGTTTCCTATATATAAGGAGAAGCTTTGAAAATGGTCTCTAGCTTATGGCATGCTTGGACCCTGTGTGTAGCCATGTCGTTGCTCAGCAGCCTGCTATGCTCTGCCGACCTTGGGACTTACAACGGACTTAAGTTAATGGCCTACCTCTGGTTTGGTAACATCGGGACTGTGCTTTTTGAGTTGTCAACCTTGGGGCTTCTCAGCCTCAGCAGCCTGCAGCTGTCTGAGTGAAGAAATGCCTCTAGCTCCAGAGGGCCAAGAGCAGGAGGCAGAGCTGGACCCCAAGGTTGAGGGGCTTTCACCTAGCCCCTAGAGTCTGGCACTTTGAACTTGGACTTAAAGCCACCAAATTGTAAGAATAAACTCCTTTTTGTTAAAGCCATCCCATTTGTGGTATATTCTTGTCAGAGTGGCACTAGGTAAGAAGAACATTGCCCAATGTCTCAAAATAGTTTAATACATTTTCTCCAGTGTCTCAGTTATTTGTAGTGGGAAGACAAGTCCAACACATTATTACTTCAGTATTTCTCAAAACAAAATTCAGTCCATCTCCTTTGTGTCTGATAATCTTATTCCTTGCTTATGCTTTTTATTTATTAAATATTTTAAACACACAGTCTTCATCTGATAATTCTAATATCCAAAATCTTGGGTGACTAATTTAATATTAGATATTAAATATTGATATGTTTAAATTCATTTTGATTTATGTTTTAAAATTTTGGATTGTGAGCTTATGTTCAACTGGACTCTCTGTGGGAGAGAACTGGTGACCCTTTCAGAGGTCTAGTTTGAACGTGCAAATCTCCAGAGAGGCTTTGCTTTAGCTTCTGCTAGGTTTCCTGGCAGGCTACTGTCTGGTGACCACTGGTTTAAGGTCATAGACTGCATGTGCATGTAAACTATAAATCTCTGTGAAGGTAAGCCTGAATTATAATTCTCAGAAGTAAACTTAACCAAAACTTTTTTCTCTGACTGGGACTGAGGCATTCAATTTCCCTTGTCATTTCTAGTTTATTGAGAATTACAGATTTATGTTTGGAAATCTCATGTAATGTTTGCCATCTTGGTCAGACCTAAAGCTTTGTCTCCTGAGTCTCTAGTGATCATTAAAGTCAAGGTTCTAGGTCACAATCAGCCTTTAGCTCTTGCTTACCACTTGTTTTTCTGCTTCCTCTTTCTGTTTGGCCCTTTGAGGATTTTCCTTACTACCAGATAAGCATTTAAAGTGGTATTTGATTGATGTTATCTACTACTTCTATGTTTTGTTTTTTTAAAACAAGAGAGTTTTTTCAGCTCTGGTGGCATCATGCCTAAGGCATTTGACTGCTAACCAGAAGACTGGCAGTTCAAACCCACCAGCCACTCCTCAGAAGGAAGGTTGGGCAATCTACTTCTGTAGAGATACCACCTTGGAAACCCAAGGAGGGGTCGCTATGAGCCGAATTGACTCGACAGCAGTGAGTTTTTTTTTTTATTTTTTAATCTAATCCATAAACCAAAAAAACCAAAATCACTGCCATTGAGTCAATTCCAACTCATAGCAACACCCAGTGGGTTTCCAAGATGATGGTAAATCTTTATGGAAGTAGATTGCCCAGTGTTCCTTCCGCGGAGTGTCTGATGGGTTTAAACTGCCAACTTTCTGGTTAGCAGTCAAATGCCTTAGGTGCTATGCCACCAAAGCTCCTATCTAATCCATAGTATTCTGGAAATGGAAGCTTGGTCCCTGTCTTTCTGCCTTCCAGATCCCCCTTCTTCTGGCCCTGGGTCCAGCTCTACACAGAGGGATAGAGTGGAGGAAGGAGAGTGTATTTGGTACCAGGGACCTAACCTAATGCTACCATGTACTGCACTGTACATGCTCTGGCAGCCCCCTCCTTTCTTCTGGCCCCAGTTGCCTTCTCTGTAAAGTGAGGGGTTAGAATCTATAATCCTTGGGTTTTCTCATAGTTTTAATTTTGATTCTCGGGCTATTCATGGGTAGGCACCTTTCTCCAGAGTCTTCTTCTGGGGCAATCTGAACAATCATTAGAAAAAGGGGGCTCAGTGATAAGGGGAGACCTTGCCCGCATTGTCCTGAGGCCCTGGGTTACTGACAATTACATGTCTTCCCAACAAACTGAGTACCTGGAAGATGAGTAATCACATCTCTACTTACTTCCCTGCTGGCATGGCAAGGCCTCCTAAAAAACCTACCCTTTAGGCTCTGGCTCTAACTCGACACTCACTTACTCCAAGAAGCCTTCCTAAAAACCGAGGCTTATGTAGAGGAGAAAGCTACTGCATGGATAGCAAAGACTGTAGTTAATTAAAGATGGTAGTGGCTATCTGGACCTCTGTGCTGAGAGATTCTGAGAGGCATCACCAGCTTCAGAAGGAAAGAGTGTTGTGATTGATTAATGATACCTGGGGTGGAGAATAAGCAGCAATGTGTCATTTGTTAGTCATCTCCAGTGCATCCACTTAAATCAGGCTATAACTTTTTGCCTTGTACTGCCCAAAGAGGAGGAAAATGAGGGAAGTTTGAAGGAAAAATCCAACTACTCAAGTCAGACAAGGGTTTATGATTTTCCTGAGTAGTCTAGCACTTCCCCATCATGCCTGGCTTGTAAATATTGTTGGGGTATTGTTAAGGGATGAAGGCTGATCTTCTCATGGTGTCTCCATTTTTCTTCCTCCTCCCTAGAGAACCATTTGATTATGTAGTACTGGACATTCACCAAGGAGCTCTGGTGGCGAAGCAAAGCATTTGGCTGCTAACTGAAAGGCCAGTGGTTCAAACCCACTAGCCACTCCATGGGAGAAATATGAGGCAGTCTGCTTCCATTAAGATTTACAGCCTTGAAAACCCTAAGGGGGCAGTTCTATTCTGCCATATAGGGTCCTTATGAGTCAGAATCAACTCTATGGCAGTGGCTTTGGTTTGGTTTTGGACAGTCACTGGAGTCCATGGGTGGTGCAAAAGATTAACATGCTCACTGCTAACTGAAAGGCTGGATGTTCATGTCCACCCAACAATACCTTGGAAGAAAGCCCTGGTGATCTACTTTCAAAAAGTCAGCCATTGAAAACTCTATAGAGTACATAGAGTCCTACTCTGACACTCATGGGGTTTCCATGAGTCAGATCAGCTTGATGGCAACTGGTGATTTGGACATTCACCAGCCCCATTCCCTCAGTGGAAGGCATGGCTGCTCATAGGTAGCACTTTCCTATCCCATTTCAGGGTGGTGAGTACCATGAGCAGGACTAGAACTTCCCTTTAAAGACAGGCCTGCACTCCCAGTCCATGTATCTCTTGATGTGCCATGAATCCAAAGATCTGAGTCAGGTCAGGAGACCAGAGTCCTCATTCCAGGTTCAGGCCATCCTAACCTTAGCCAGAGTCCTGCTTTCTGGATTTCAGGTGCCTGCATTTGTGGGTGAGGTGGTACCTGTTTTCCCTTGCCCTCCTGTCCTCTCACGTAGCTGCCTTGGAGGGGAGGTGGGGAGAGTGGTTAGACACCCAGGACCCATCACAAGTATCAGGGGCCTTAAATATCAAATGATGCAGGCTTAAGAACACAGCAAGATACTGCAAATCTATTTCTGGGGTTGGGGGTGCTGAGTATAATGAATAAAGCGTATATGAAGGATACAATTTAAAATAAAATTAAATGAAAATTAAACTTCGAAAACTTCAACTGAAAAAGCTTATCTTACAAAGGCACCACAAGCAGTTAAATGTAGAACAAGTCATGGCGTGGCAACCAGCTGTAGATCTAGGCCTGAGCTCTTGTGTCTTGGAGACCAGGCAGAACCTCTGAAGGTAGCCCTCACTCTGCTCCCAGGAAATGGACTCTCTTGAGCCCTGGGTCTGCAAGCTCAGAGCTGCTGGCCAAGAGCTGGTGCCATGCTGCCCCTATCTGTGCCCCCAGGGAGACTAAATGAGTTAGCAACCAGAGGGGCCAGCCATCTCCAGGCCCCACGTAGTTGGTAAGAACTCCTCAGGCCTGTCTGCTCAGGAAAGGGTATCTAATTTGCCAGAGGGCACTGTTGCTGGGCTGAGTGGGGACATTAGCCTGACATGATGTGTGTGGGGGGCACTGAAGGGTTCCTGGGGTGGCCTTTGTATCCTTACCTGCCCCTTTCATCCCCACTCCATTCTTCTCTCTCTCTCTGTCTCCCCTTCCCCCTCCCCCTTATTCTCCATCTTTCCTTATTTCTTTTTCCCTCCCCCCTCCCTTCCCCGCTTCCTCCTTTCTCACCATCTCTCTATTTTGGTCTCTCTCTTTGCCTCTTCTCCCATCTGTGCTGCGCTTCTCTCTCTAACCTTTTCCCAATTGGGTCAGAATCTTCCCCACCCAGTGAAGAATAGGAGGGTGCAGTGTAGTACCATCTGAGGCTTCATCCTTGGAGTGAGAGAACTTTGCGGTCTTTGGTGTGGATGATTCCCAGATTCTCTTAACCAGCCACAAAGGGAGCCTTGAATAGGGGGAACCAAGTTTCTAAGGACTTAGCTTAGAACAGGACTTTTGGGGGCCTTGGGCTTTGTATGAGCAAGACCTAGTCAGGCCTGCCCCAGCCTATCTATCCCACAGCCTCACCTAGATGCTGGAGCAGGCTTGTTTATTACACAGAGGCTGGGGAGGCAGGCAGGAGACTAGGGAAGCAGGAGGTGGGGGAGGAGCAGTGTCCAGGCCTGTGGTCTGGTGCTCTTGGTGGCCAGAGGAGAGGACATCACTTCTTGGATGACTGTTTCTTCCAGCTGGAAATCTTCTTACTGTCCCTCCTGGCTTTGTTGAGAGGCTGCAGGTCCAGTTCAGGCTCCTTTATTCTAAATACCAAAATAGAAGTAAGTGCTTTGAGTGGTCAAGAGGGTGCTGGCCTGAGCAGAAACTGGAGCCTTGCTTTGGGTCTGGCCCTGGTCTCTGTGTCCCTTTCCCTGACACACATAATGCTGCCCGGGTTTGTTTCCAGCCAGTGGCCCCTGTGACCTTTCTAGATGCTCATGGTTTTCCTATCTTGATAAGGAATGTGTGATTTAACACACTGGCATGGGAGCTCTGGTGGTGTAGTGCCTAAGGCATTTGACTGCTAACCAGAAGGCTGGTGGTTCAAACCCACCAGCCACTCCTCAGAGGGAAGATAGGGCAATCTACTTCTGTAGTGACTTTTTTTTTTTTTTTTGGCAGAACACATAGAACCATGCTTTCTTGTACAGCTAACACCACTGATTTAGTATACTTTTGACAGGTATAGCTAGTTCCTTATAGGGCTCAGCAAGGCAATCTCCACCCTTTGGATGATGATGGGTCTGGGCTGTAGGGTTGGGGTACTGTCTGCAAAAGGGCCTCCATCTCCACTCCCCAGACCACTGGCAGCAGCTCTCGGGAGCAGACTCAATGTCAGCTGGATGTGTGGATAAGAGGGGCTAGACATCAGAGTTTATGGAGATGACTGAAGCCCAGGGGGCAGTGTCCTGCCCAAGGCCACACTACCAGCTGTGGCATCAGTGGCAGAACCAAGCCCCTGATGTTAGCAACACCCATTCTGCTGACCAGGCTCGTGAGGACACCTACTTTTTGTCTGCTTCACCCAAGGACTCTTTCTCCATCTTGTCCCCCAATGCCAATGAGGAGAAGCTTCCTTGGATATCCTCTGACATTGCTCTCTTTGACAGTTCAGTATCCATAAGGCTCGGGATGGGACTTGAAGCACTGCAGAGAGGCAGGGTGGGGAGGGGTGGTACTGAGTAGGGACAGAGCCAGAGGGGCCCAGAGCTTGGGATATCAGGGGCAAACAGCCCCTGCCCAGCCTGGCCTGGCCCCTATGATTCCTAGAGAGAAAAATACACTTGGTTGAAAGGTTGGTGGTTCAAGTCTACCCAGAGGTACCTCAGAGGAAAGACCTGGTAATTAACTTCTGAAAATCAACCACTGAAACCCTTGGGGCACAGTTCTACTCTGATACACATAGGAGTCACCATGAGTTGGAGTTGACTCCATGGCAACTCTTTATTTATTTTTGATAATAAGAAAAATGGCACAAATTCTTCTTCTGAAGGTGGTGAAGGCAGGATCTGACTAGCCTCGGTTCCAGGGATTTGCTCCACTGGCTTTTGTCTCAGGCTGGATTTGCACCATCCCATGTGTCAGAAGCCTTGGTAGTGTTCTCGTCTGTTAACCAAAAGGTTGGTGATTCGAACCCACCCAGTGGCTCTGTGGGACAAAAGGCCTGGCAATCTGCCACTGTAAAGATTACAGCCTATCAAACCCTATGGGGGAGTTCTACTCTATCATTTAGGGTCACTATGAGTCAGAATCAACTTGAAAGCACACAACAACAACATGTGCCAGCTACTTCTGGATTCCCGACTCTGAGCACAGGGAACACCTGTGGAAGCAGGGGGCAGAGGGCAAGGAGAGGAATGAAGTCAGGAAACCAGTCATCAGGTGTGGTCTTCCTCATCTTGCATCCCACTTACTGCCTACCACACCCATTTTCTGCATGCAAGATGACCATCACATGGCTCATAACCATAACCAGTCTGGAGCTCCTGACTTTTGTAGAGATCAGTCCTAAGTCCCTAACATGATGTCCAGCTCAAAGCTCATCAGAATCTCACCTCAACAGGCAACTCAAGGATTTCTGTTCCCATGCTACAGACAAGGGCACTGATGTCCAGAGAGGTGAGGGGCTTGTTCAAGGTCCTCTAGGGAGTTCATGGCAGTGACAGGATCAGCTTGTTACCCACTGTCTATCAGTCCATGCTTACTGAGCCCTGCATGCACAGGAGGTACCAAAGAAGCAGAGTCCCCTGCCCTCTCCATGGGCTCTGTTAGGCTGGGGAGGGCCCAGAAGCTTCTGGGGGAAGGTGGTATCCATGCCAAAGAATTAAGTATGAAGTGTGAGTCATCCAGGCTGAGCATAGAAGTGAGTGTAGAGACACTGGCCAGACAGGTGTTGGACTCTCAAAGGCTACCAGCAAGAAACAATGTGGTGGCATTGTTTAAATCTCTACTGCCTTTAAAGACCAACTGAGGGAATGAAAAATGACCTGCTCCAGGCCAGGGCCTTTCAGAGTCAACAAAAGACAACTGAAGCCTCTTCCATCCTCTTGGAGGTCTTAGAAAAATGAAAAAATTAAGGAATATCAAAACAGGGCTTCCCTTTGTGCTGCAACCCCACCTCACAGACACACACACAATAAAGTTGAAATGACCCTTTTAAACACCTCATTAGCTGATGAAGTCCTACCATGTGGCCCTCTGAGAAGATGAGGTCTTTAGGTCACTCATGTGAGGAGGAGTCTGGGCTGAGCCCACAGGCAGTTGCTAGTCTCTGTGATGGCATAGTGCCTAAGGCATTTGACTGCTAATCAGGAGGCTGATGGTTCAAATCCACCAGCCACTCCTCGGAAGGAAGACTGCGCAATCTACTTCTGTAGTGATACCACCTTAGAAATCCAAGGAGTGGTCACTATAAGTTGCATCTGACTCGATGGCAGTGAGTTTGTTTTTTTATTCTCAGATGGCACGGGTGGGGGCAGGGAGCAGGGGGCAGGCTGAAAAGCCTTCCAGGCTGTCCTGCAGAGCCTCTCCCAGAGGGGATAGAGAGGAGATCCCCGGGAGCTCTCTTAGCATTGGGTGCTTGGAACAGAAAAGTCCCAGAAAGAAGCAGAGTCCCCCAGCCCACCCCATACCCCCAGACATTATCATTCATTCATTCATTCATTCATTCATACTGAAAGAATTTACTGAGCACCTAGGCTCTTGGGATACAAGAGTTAAAAAAATAGCAGGCCCTGAGCTCCCAGCCAGCCCCTCAATTCTGCTAATCTGTGAACTGGCCCCTCCAGGACACTGGCCTCCTCCCTGGCCTCTGGCTTTCAGCATCATTCACCCCCACCTATCACCCACATTGCTGCCTGAGGACTCTTCTTTCTTGATCTGACCTTGACTCTCCTGCCTAAAACCAGTCTGAAGCTCCTGACTTTTGCAGAGGTAAGCCCCAAGTCCCTAGCATGACGTCCAGCTCAAAGCTCACCAGAATCTCTCAAGTTCCCAGCATGTTTCTAATGGCCCCTCTGCAGCCCATACACTAGGTTCGTCCAGTTATCCTGTTCACCAGGTCCCACATAGCCCCTTGACTTTGCCCATTCTATTCTCCTGCCTGGAATGGAATGCCTTTTCCCTCTTCTCATCTACTTATGCTCCAAGTTCAGGTTCCCATGTAACCTTCTCTGTGAAGCCTTCCCTGAAGTCTCACAGGAATAATTTCCTCCACTCTCCTCTCTACTTGCATCTTTACCTCACACAGTACATAATTCTTTGTGAATCTGCCCCTCCAGTTACTTGAGGTGAGGGGCTGATCTTAGCACCTTGGTACCTCCTCTGCATGGCTGTCAGTAAAATAAATGGATGAATGGATGGATGGGTAGAGTCCTGGAGTGAGCCCTTAAAAGTTGGTAGAACCCAATGATGATGACATCAGAGATCAATGGAACCACACTGTCATACTCCTGAGGCTCACTTCTGTCCCTGCCTGAGCCCCCAGTTTCCCTGGAAGAATGCCAAGCCCACCTGTGCTCAAAGTATAAGTAGAATAGCCCACTTAGGGGTTTGCAATAGGCTAGCCCTTCCAGCAATTTCAAAAACTTTGTACTTGCCTTGGTGAGTGGAGTCCACCTTCCCATACATAGCATTGAGTACAACTCCCTGTTTCTGAGCCCCTGGTCCACTTTAAGAAAGTAACATCTCTTTCAGTCCCACTCAAGTCCTCAGTCCAGAGAGAAGTAGCTTTGAAATGATCTTCATCCATACTAATTGTCTGTTGACACTCTCCATTAACTCCAAACCAGACCTTGCCAAGTTCATGCATCTAAAGTCCAACTCTCATTAAATGTCTCTCCAGCTCAAGAACCTTCAATGGCTCCCCATTGCTTATAAATCAAATTACAAAAGCCACGTTTGATAGTTCTTTCCCCTGCTTATCCAGTGCCTGCTTATCCTTTAACAGGGTTCCCCTACTCCAGTAGGTCTTTCCCAGACATCTCATGAACTGGTCCACAGTGATCCCTAATACATGGGGCACACAGCAATGCCTCCATCCTGGAAAGCTTCTACTGCTTCCTCTCCATAAGCCAGGAGCCTTATCCTAGCAACCAGATTTGGTCCCCATCCCACTTCTCTCTGGCTCCCCTAATAGAATGGCTTGACCTAGAGCTGTTCAGCAACAGGCTCACTGTGTCATAAAACTATGGAAGTGAACCAAAGCCTTGCTCAGACCCAACAAGTAGGAATTAAGAAAGTTGCCTGGGTGTAAGGGGGAGGACAGCTTTGTGGAAGGGAGCCCGGGGCTGAGACCAAATGCCAGCCCTGCCATGCCTTGGCTTGCAGGCACACAGAGTGTATGCCTTCTTCCAGAGCCTCGGTTTACCATACTTTTTCACAAATAGCATGTCCACATAAATAACTTGCACATGCATATAATAATGGAAATGACAAAATTATGTAAAAAGTTCTGGCATGGTGTGCTCATGCATACACCACACATGTCTCATGACATTTCCAGAAGTGAATTTTGGCTTCATATATTCTCATTCAGTAGTCTGAAAATGTTACTGTTGATCGTATTTGTATCTCAAAGGTAAAGCCTTTGTCAAAAAGTCATCGATCAAGTTTGTAGTTCCCCAGAAATCAGAAAATGAACAACTGAGGCTGTGTG